TCTATTGTAGCTATAACACACCTACATTATGCAGCCTCACAATTAAAAAAAAAAAAAAAACTGAACAAGCTACCTCTAAAATCACCAGGAAAGTCCTTTCTTCACTTAGCAAGCAAAGAAAAGATTGACCACTTATATTAAATAGACTGTACATCAGTATGTCCTGGAAGTGACACTAAACTAAAAATTCTAACTCTAGAATTAAGGAATAATGATGATCTTCAAAATGATAAATAATGATGTTATGGTCCGAGAGATGTCATTAAATCCTAAAGGAAAACTCTATAAGATTTAAGGAAAATTTCATGCAACCTATCCAATATTTGAAAATTAATATAGCCCAGTAAAAATTGTCTCTTAGCATGCAGTTTTAGGTGTTAATGCTGATTTTTCCCTGACCATATTACAAGACATTTAAATCAAGCATTAGAAGGAAAAACAATTAGTTTTCCAATAAGAAGCCATCGTGTCATATATATATATAACTTTTCATACATGTCTCTTACTGGGGACGAAAGGAAAATTTCAGGAGCTGCTACTGTATGAGCTGCTACTGTACTCAGTGCTTGTCAATACTTTAGGAGAAACTACATAATACAGCCAAATTAAAAAAAACAAAGCAAAACAAAACAAAACAAATCCCCCATCAACTCCCAAATCATTCCAAAGACTCTGATGTATATGTAAAACACATGACAGATTATGTTCAATCTTGTAGACATCTGTCTCTCTCTTAGAAGATGGACTAAAGAAGACAAGTTTACCTTGCTGCCATGTGAGTCACCCTGGCAAGCTGGTTGAGGCACTCCTTTTCAGTCTGCTCAAGATGCAGCAAACCAAAATCTCTACGACACTGTAAGAAATATACCTACAGATTTTTGAAAGAGAAAGATGTTCAAGGATTTCTTCCAAATGAACATTCTCAGATATCTCAAGTAAACTGTAAGCAATTTTTCAGTCTTTCCAAGTAGCACCAGTTTCTTGACCAAGATACATTACAAATGCTTTCTTAATCAATGTAATTCTGCAATTTAATTTCTTCATTCAGTGATTACTAAGTTAGTAAGCACTCAAGAAGACTACTTTTCAAGTTTGCAAACTTACTGGAATAATTTTGGAATCTCTGCTTTGGTCCCAGAGATACTAATTTAATTTGTAATAGGGCTAGCCTAGGCATTAGAATTTTTAAAAATCCTCACTAAAGTAATTCTAATATGCAGGAAAGTTTGAGAGAATGCGAAAGAAATCCTGCTGTTTTTATTTCCTTAATGAAGGGGTGAGAAACTAAACAGACTCTATGAAAAGTACAGTCTAAATGGACCTTAGAGGTCATCCAGCCCAACATTTCTCCCAGGAATCCTTTCACAATCATTATTGAAGCACGATCATTTGGTCTCCAGTTTTAACTGTTAATCATTCAATAATTACTAAAATTTATACTCTTGGACAGTAATGTGTTAGAAAGTTCATTCTAAAATTAGTAATATAAGCAGACAGAAACTTTTAGCTCAAAACACTGAAGAATACAAATGAGTTTTTAAGGTAATGTCAGCCTTTTCTTTGTTAAGCTAATGCTACAATAGTACTTCCATCCAGTTTTGCTTCAGATTTACTTCTTGGTTGTTCTGCAATTCCAAGAATTCTACAAAAGAATAGATCATACCAATGATCTATGCTTTTGAATATCAGCAAGGTCTTCAAATATCTGACTCTTGGGACTAGAGAGATGGCTCTGCAGTTAAAAGCACAGGATGCTCTTGGAGAGGGGCCTGGTTTTGGTTCCCAACACCCACATGGGAGCTAACAACTGTCCTAACTCCAGTTCCAGATCTGATCCCCTGTTCTGACCTCCGAATGCACTGTATGACATGGGTGCAGTTACACACATGCAGGCAATACACTCATACACATAAAAAGTAAAAATAACATTTTTTAAAAATCTGAATCTTACTATAGCAAGTTTGTTATCTATAAATAATTACATATCCATATACAATCATCTTTCTTTTACAAGGCTCTACCTTTGACATTATAAACCAAATTAAAGGATATTAGGTGACTTTCTGGGATTCTGGAAAGCAAATTTGTTTTTGACAGTGGGGCATATGGGGAATATACACACACGCACGCAAACACACGTTTGTTTTGGAAGATCTATATAGGGACATACCAGAAAAAATGGTAGTAAAACAGAAGTGAAACATTATTCTTATAAATCTGGCTTAGTGACCTGGCTTCATGAAGCGTTCATTCCTAAGATATCTGTAGTTGCCATATATACTGCAATTTTGGGGGGTTACTCAAGAAACAAACATAAGATTATAAACACTGAAGTACTGATAACCAACATGCCGGTACCAAAAAGGTACAAGAGTATAAGATGCATTTTCCTGGATGATATTCAGATACCTTATTTTTGTTTATTCAAAACCCAACTTTTTTCAACTCCAATTATACTAATGAGACAAGTAAAACTTTCCACCCTCACCCCATTCCTTCATTTTTCTTTTACCTCAGCTGTTAAGGCTCTGCTAGTTTCTGCATTCAGTTTGTTCAAATAAGCTTTAATTGTGCTTTCCAGATTATGCTTCTCCATTTCCCATTGAGATCTGAAATGTATAATCATTAAAAATCAGCAACACTACAATGATACACATTCCCAACTTATTCAGGGGCAAGGAAGATATAAGCACAACAATGAAAAGATAATTTCTTGGAAAAGCACACAGCACACATTGCACTTAAAAACAAGAAGACTTCGTTTAACACTTAAAACAACTTTGACTTCCAAAACTGCAGAAGTTTTAAAGTCATCAGTACAGTGGTAATGATCTAACACCTGAATTTGTAATCAAGATATTATATGTAAAGTCTTTGACAAGTACAATGGATTCAATGTTTGAGTCCCCCATCCTGCCCCACAATTCATTTGTTGAGATTTTCAACTCCAAAGTGAGGGTACTAGAGGAGACAGTACTTTTAGGAAGTCACATGGTGGCCATAAGGATAAGGATTAATGATTTTATTTTAAAAGACGCTCTAGAGAGTTCTATTTTCCCTTCTGCTGTCTATTTTTTATTTTTTTACATGTAAAAATGGAGACTGTTATATTACCTTAAAATTGCTATAAAAATTCATTCACATATATACATATAAACATTTTAGGTTTGGGATATAATAAATAAATGTTGGTTATTAATAATTTTATATGGCACTTTCTAAGCATTTTTGTCAACAATGGCAACCATGGAAATTTTCATTATGGCTGTAAAAAAGGGATTTTTTACATGTAAAAATGGAGACTGTTATATTACCTTAAAATTGCTATAAAAATTCATTCACATATATACATATAAACATTTTAGGTTTGGGATATAATAAATAAATGTTGGTTATTAATAATTTTATATGGCACTTTCTAAGCATTTTTGTCAACAATGGCAACCATGGAAATTTTCATTATGGCTGTAAAAAAGGGAAGTAGCTGCATTCAGGAAAGTTTCCTGGCTAGGCCTGTATTCTCATTTCATATCTTAGAATGAAATTCAATCCTACTGCTTAAAAGGGGAGGCAAGAATAGTAAGGTCATTGCACCGGCTATTACAGAAAATAGAAACCTATAAGGTTTCTTCTCTTTCCCATCCCTATTCAGCTTCCTACATTTGAGTCTCAGAACTGCAGAGCATACAAACGAAATTCTGCATTTAGCAAAAACGATTAATTGAAAATATAACTATAATAAGGAATAAGTTAATAGAAATACATTCAGATGCTTAAGAACTGAAAAACTATTGACAAGAAACATGTCAAATACATACCATTAAGAACAGACCTTAGCTTACTAGGGAGAAAAAAAAATCATAAAATACTTAAGGAAGACATGTTATATGCCACTAACTATTGTGGATAACTAGCCTAAAATAAAAAATAAATTGTTCAGGGCTGGAAAGATGGCTCAGCGGTTAAGAACATTGGTTGTTCTTACAGAAGACCTGGTTTGAATCCCAGCACCCACATGGCAGCTAACAAGTGTCCGTAACTCCAGACCCAGGGGATCTGACAGCCTCTTTGGACCTCCGTGGGCATTGCACAACATGGGTACACTTACCTACATGCAGGCAATACACAGACACACATAAAATAAAAATAATAAATAAAAAATGTCCCCTAACAAAATTAAAAACATTTTTCCTTTAAAGATATCAACAAGAAAATGAAAAAACAATCCTAAAGAATGGGTGAAAATACTTGTGAATCAAATTGTACATAGGGTTGGCAATGTGTAATAGCTTACTTCATAGAGCACTTGTCAAGCATTATGAACTACTGGGTTTCAACAACAATAAAAATCGCAATTGTACCCAAAACATAGAAAGAACTCTTGGAACTCAACAATATAAAAAAAAAAATTTATTATTATTATTTTTTGTTTTTTTTGAGACAGGGTCTCCCTGTAGCCCCAGCTGTCCTGGAACTCATTATGTGGACCAGGCTGGCCTTGAACTCACAGAGATCCACCTGCCTCTGCCTCTCGAGTGCTGGGATTAAAGGCATGCACCACCATGCCTGGCCTAATGAACTTTTAAAATGCATCAAGAATTTGAACAAAAATTTACTCAGGAAGATATATACATTACTAATAAAGCATGCAAAAAGAAAAAAGATGTTTAATGTACTTATTAGAAAAATACAAATCTAAACCAAAATTACATACTGCTTTATTGTATTTGTGAATGTATTTAACATATATTTAATTTATAATATAATTTTAAAATTTATTAATATATTTAACAAGTAAAATAAATACAGATAATCTAAGATGTATTGGTGAGAATGTAAAGAAATCAGGCCCTCTCAACATTTTTGCCACTATAAAATGGTACAGTTACTGAGAAAATAGCCTAGAAACTTATAAAGTTTATTGATAATTCTGTAATTTCATTCTTGATATATATACTTAAAAGGAAAACATTCACAAAAACTTTATATACAAAAGTTCTTCAATGGTCATTACATTAGTCATTATAGACAAAAAAAGGGGGGGGGGACAAATAAAATGTCCACCAAACTAACGAAAAGAAAAAAATGTGGGGATGGAGAGATGGCTCAGTGGCTAAGAGCACTAGCTGTTCCTCTATAGGACCTGGGTTTGGTTCCCAGCACCCACATGGCAGCTAACAACCACCTGTAACTCTAGTTCCAGGGGATCCAACGCCCTCTTCTGCCCTCTGTGGGTATTGCATGACACAGGTGCACTTATATACGTTCAGGCAATACACTCATACATCAAAGAATTAAAATTAAATATTATAAAATGTGCTACATCTAAACAATGGAATGTTTATAAAAGGAATGAGGAATTATATATGCTATAACATGGAGGGATTTTGAAAGATATATTAAAGAAATTAATCACAAGAAGTTACATGTTATATAACTCTTTATTTGTGATGTAAGAATGGGCAAAATCCCAAGATATAAAGTTGATTAATCAAGTTGCCAGAAGGTAAAGGAGGAATAAAGATCAAATGACTTCTAAAGTGTCTAAGGTTTCTTTCTCAGGGGACAAAAATGTTCTGGAAATAGACAATGGAGATGGTTGTACAGTTCTATTAATATACTAAAAGCAGTGAACTATATGCTTTAATAGGGTGAATTTCATGCTATATGAATCATTAAAAAAATGTTTAAAAATTGCCCTCAGGCAAGCAATAGGTGAATCTCAGTAAAACAACTAGTCCCACAAAGCAGTCATACCAAAGTTCTGATTTCTTGCAGTAATTTGTTATGAAACTATAACTTTGTTGAATGAATTGTCTCAATTTCTAGGGCCAGGGCTAAGATGAATATAACTCCCAGTTTGCCTAGGACTCTTCTTGTTTATGTCTATTATCTCAATGTAACTGCAATATTACTCAATATCTTGCTCAAAAGTGCTCAGTTTGAATGATAAATTCTATGGCTACCTTAGCTAAAATTGTTGCGCAAAATACTTTCAAAGAGGGTATACCCAACCAAAGGAAAAGCTGTTTGTACCTTTTTATGGAAAGTTGATCTGTAAGGTTCTTGATTTCATCATCTTTAGCATGGATTTGACGCTGTAATCTAGGCAAATAAAATAGTAAGTCATAAAATTCTAAAAATTATTAGTCATTAACATTGAATATCTTTTCTGTGGCTGAGGAGGGGACCAGTCTGTCTAATTTGGATAAAAAACATTGGGCTTGAAAACAGCAAATGGACTCTTATACATCATCTATTTGAAACATAACTCTCTGGTTTCTGATGTCTGATTTACTGACTTCTCAAAGAAAAGGAAACTGTAATCCAGAAAATTTGAAGGCCAAAGTGTTATATATTTTAAACATTGGCTCATTGACTGGAAAAGATGTCTTCAGCTATCTGTACTATAGTTTATATACTAGGAAACAGAGACACTGTCATCTGATCTCAGCCGGTTGGGCTGAGAACACTAAGATCCTTAAAGAGACGTTATATAAACCATGTAAATTATGGAAAGATTTAAAGCTTGAAAGAAAACAAATCTTCAATATAGAAGTAATGTGGGTGCTCACTTTGGCAGAACATATACTAAAATTGGAATGATACAGAGAAGATTAGCATGGCCCCTGTGCAAGAATGACAAGCAAATTTGCGAAGCGTAATCAACAGCTATCTAATTGGACTTAAAGCACTCTCAGTGGGAGTGAACTCATGGGTGGCACCTTAAACACAGCAAAATACACATGGCTGGAGAGGCCATTGATCCTAGAGAAAACCCTATCCCTGTCATATCTCTAGACAAATGAAATTTCTTACCATACACTAAATATGGATCCTTATATTTACAGACACCTACACCATACACCACTCATCAAAGAAGTTTCTTTTTGGAACAGATGGAGGTTACTTCAGAATCCTACAACTGATCAGACAGAGAATATATATCTCAGAGATACCCCATCCTAGGTGATACATCTACAGTTGAACCTCTACAACTAGGGCTCATGGAACACAGCAGAACAGGGGGTAGAGAGAAAACTAGTGCATCCCTTGGCTCCCACCAGTGAAGCTTCCTTATACAACAGAGTGAGATGTGCATGGAGGGCCACAACTGGCAAAGTCTTAAAGAATTATAGACTACAGAGTGTGTGTCCTTGGATAGGACTCCTATATTGGACCTCGCCCATGCATGACTCAAGGACCATTGCAGAGGAGGGGGCGGAAGGATTGGGAGAGCCAGGGCTGGTTCATGGATGTGGGGAGGCAGAGGTTTTCAGACCACTGGAATCTTGCAAATGTGAACTGGTGGCGATAGTGAAGTCTAGTGCAGGACCCATGTCAACTTAAACAGGTGGGGACCCAGAATGGAGTGAGAGAGATAGGTGGTGGGCTGGCCCTAGACTGGGAACTACTGGGACTGACTACTACTGGGTGAGGGGGAAGGTGCCTTGCTTGTGGCCTCTGGACGGGCTGGCTGGACTCAAGTGGATGAGCTTGCACTGAAGGACATCTGGGTGCAGATGCTTGACTGGATGGAACTTGGCATAAATGGAAGAATGCATGGGGTTAGGTGGAGAGTTGGGAGGCATGAATGGGGAAGGGGGTCTAGGTTTGAATGAAAACTTGTGTAAAGTGTGCAGAAACTCAATAGAAAAAAATTTTTAAAAAGAAGTAATGAGGCTAAATACAAACAGAAATTTTAACTAAAATTATAAATTATAATTTGGGAGCCATTTATACATATGACTTAGTCATGGAAACATTGGGTACAATTTTATTTTTATTTTTATTTTTTGGTCTTTTTGAAACAAGGTTTCCCTGTAACCCCAGTTGACCTGGAACTCACTACATAGACCAGGCTGGCCTTGAACTCACAGAAATCTGCCTGCCTCTGCCTCCCAAGTGCTGGGACTACAGGCATGCACCACCACACCCGGCCACATTGGGTACAATTTTAACACAAATCAGAAAATATAATCTTTAAAAATATGCAAGAAGTTTAAGAAAAATGTAAAGTAATACTTTTTGTCTAATAGTCACATATCATCAAAGGATCCTCTCCTATTGTTATATTTATTTTTACAACCAAGTTTACCATAAGAATTTAAATTAGCTTCAATATGAAGATCCTTATAACAAAAAGGACATTTCTCTTTAAGTCTGTGATAAGTTTAGATCACTGGAATACATAGGAGTTTTGATTAATCCAAATTTGGGGATGTAAATCCTGGAATCAATGACTTCAGTGCTAGCTGATTGCTAACAGATTTTAGAAACTACCCAATCACCCTTAAGTTTACTAGAAGCTGTAAGAGGCTTGTAGCCAATATTCTGCTGGCTAAAAGACACAATGAAAAGAAAATATGACTTCTTTTGTACAAAAGAAATTGTATTCTCAAATGAAGAGTAAGAAATACCAGCTTTGCTACTATAAGAAGCAGGAATATATAAAGTTTAAAAGAAGGTACTTTCTTGTGTCACTTAATAATGAGGGTAAATCCTGAGGTCTATTAGGCATGCTTGTTATTCTGTATCCATCATAATGTGTACTTGCGTAAAGAAAGACAGCTAGCTTATCATTAGGCAACATAATTATATAGAACATCATCAATTATGAAGTCTGTCAATGTCCAAACGTTATACAATGCTTCATTCATAATGAAGTTAAGACTTCTCATTTTTCTTTTCTCTTTAATTCCTCCCTCTCTCCTTTTTTTTTTCTTTTTCTTTTTTTCAGTACTGGCAATTGAATTTAGGGCTTCACATATACATGCTAGGCAAGTTTTCTACCACTGAGCTTTATCTCCAGGCTTTTCATTTTTGTCAAACAGAGGCTCTCACTAAACAACCCAGGCAGATCTTGAATTTATGATCTTCCTGTTTCAGTCTCCCAAGTTGCTGGGATTAGAATCTTGTGCTACCAGGTCTAAAATGAAGTAGGATCTCTGAGACTGAAATATATTTCTTTAGATATTTCTATTTCTTTAGTATTTCACCCAGTTCCAGTTTAGAGTAGGCAGTAAGAGATGATGAGCTAGAGAGAAATACAGATTTGAATTATTTTTTAAAAAATATTGACAACCTGCAAGCCTCTCTCCTGGGAGCCCTCTGGGCCTGGTCCCACCATCACCTCCCTCTGCTTCCCTGGGCATGCACAACCCGCCGGCCTCTCTCCTGGGCAAGTCCATCCGAGCCCTCCCTGCCTTGACTCCCCCAGCCTCATTCACCATCCCACCTCCCCTGCCTGGCTCTCCTCCTAGCCTGGGTACTGTCCTATTTCTTGTCTTGGCACCCCACACACCAGGGCTGACCTCTAAGCCCAGAACCACCACTGCTTACTGATCCTCTGCATCCACATCAACCCAGTTCTTTCTCAAAGTCCCCAGGAGCCCTCTGGGCCTGGGCCTGCCCTCCTTCTACTTCCCTGGGCTACACAACCCGCCAGCCTCTTTCCTGGTTAAGTCCATCAGTGCTCACCCTGCCTTGACTCCCACAGCCTAATTCATTCTCCCAGCTCCCTGCCCCAATCTCTCCTACTAGCCTGAGTACTGGCTCATTTCTTCTCTTGGCACCCAAAACACCAGGCTGAGCTCTCTGCTTGGAGCCACCACTGTTTAATGATCCTCTGCATCCAGACAAACGAAGTTCCTCCCTGCATTCCCCAGGGACCCTTGGGGCCTCCTCCCACCCCCACCTTCCTTTGCATCCACCAGCTGCTCGACACAAGCATCATTCATGGGCCCTGCTCCCAGGCCAGCACAACCCCTAAATTCATCTTTCCTGGAGGGATCCTGACCTTAGGAGAAAGCCTGAGAGCATCTGATCATCATTTGATTGGGCCTCTATGGGAACTTCTGAATACAAAAGCAATTTGGCCACTCCAATATAATATCAAAAGACAGAGCCAGAAGCTTAGATGAACCAGCTTTTCATGCCCAAAAAGTAAACCACAAAGGCATACGAAGTTTAGAAAAAGAAGGAGACCTAAACTTGAAGGCTTAAGTCTCACACAAGAATCAGAAACTACAAAAGAAATTCACATGTCAAAATCACAGAGAAAAAATAACACGAAAAACCAAAATAACATATCTCTACCACATACCAATAGTCCTCTAGAGGAGTACAATGAGAACCCCCCTAGAGATAATGCAGGACACGGAACTCAACAAAACAATTATAAACATGATTAAAAAATTCAGTGAATTTAAAGAACACACAAAGAAATTAAAGAACTGAAGGAAGAGAGGGATAAACTTCTGCATGAATTCAGAAAAGAGCTAGAAATATTGAAGATTACTCAGGTTGAAATGAAGAAGTGAAACACTCAGTAAGCCAATTAGAAACTACATGAAAAAACCTCACCAATAGGATGAATGAAATGGAAAACAGAACATCAAGTCTGGAAGATAAAGTGAATGAACTAGACCACTCAAGAAAAGATTATGAAAAATTTAAGAAAGCACAAGAATGGAATATGCAGGAATTGTGTGATACCACAAAAAGACCAAACTTATGAATCATAGGCATACAGGAAGGAGAGGAATCTTAAGATAATGGTATGAACCAGATATTCAACAGAATCATGAAAGAAAATTTC